GAGAACTCTCCACACCCCACGCTGGCTTTCTCACTATCTCACCCCCTTTCACCTTGTGTTAGGAATGTTGATCAGAGTCTGCCATATTATTCCGCAATCATCTTCCCACATGTATTATCAGAGTCTCCCTCTTACCCCGTAGCATCCGACTCCTACCTTCCTGGTTCAAGTATTTTACTCGATCCTTGCCTCTATTTCTGCACTACTCATAGCGTTATTTCCCACACTGTCTCAAGCCTTCGATAGCACGCCTACTCCCGCCTTGCAGAGTAGGCCCCTAAAAATCAGGATCCACAAGCCGGATGGGAGATTAACGTGGTCAAGCCTTTGATTCATGGACCACGTCTATGATCAAACACGTCTACTGTTATATGTCTCGAAACTATACTTGTATACTTAAAAAGTCTACCGTTAGCCAACTGGCTCTAGTCCTCATTGCATCTATCCGGTTTCTAGCCCTAATAACAAGTCTATGACTTTCTATGCCATAGTCTGTTGTGTGCCAACTCCCAAATTTTGTGGTTATACTCCTTTTGTTTAGGTTCAATGTAGAACCACAAGATTTATGAGTTAGCATACAAGAGAGTAGGGCATATGAAGTCATAGACTTGGTATTACGGATAGAAACTGGATAGATGCGGCGGGGACTAGAGCCAGTTGGGTAAGAGTAGATGTATTTGAGCACAGACATGGTCCATTATGCAACGGCTTGACCATGAGAATTACGCGGGGTCTTTAGCCTCACGTTAGTCTCCCATCTGGCTTGTGAATCCTGATTTTTAGGGGCCTACTCAGCGAAGTGGGAGTATGCGTGCCATCAAAGGCTTAAGACAGTTTGGGAAATAACGCTATGAGTAGTGCAGATAAAAAGGCAAGGATTGAATAAAATACTTGAACCAGGAAAGTAGGAGGTGGATCCTACAGGGCAAGAGGGAGACTCTGATAAGACTCATGGGAAGAGGATTGCGGAATAATATGACAGACTCTGATCAACATTCCTAACACAAGGTGAAAGGGGATGAGGTGGTGAGAAAACCAGCGTGGGGTGTGGAGGGTTCTAGTGAAATTTGCTCAAAAGGACATCATACCAGATTTAAATAAGCAATTGTGATAGTGAAGGGGTGACATGAGGATATAGGTTTGGTGAATACCGCAGGGCAGAAGGAGAGATACCACAATTGTTTAGCAGACAATTCTTCTTCATACTGTACTTGGAATTTTAGTACTGTTTGTTTGAGACCTTTTATAATAAACTAATTAAATTCTTTATTTTAGACTATTCAACACAAGCTTGCTGAAATGAAGACCTCATTATGCGTTTCCAGAGCCTTCATTGACCACTGTCTTGCTCTTCTTAATGAGAATAAACTGGATACGGCAATGGCTTCCATGGCTAAGTATTGGGCTAGTGATCTTTGTAGCGTAATCGCTAGCGATGCAGTCCAGCTTCACGGTGGGTGGGGTTATATGTGGGAGTATGCTGTCTGCAAGAATTACGTTGATGCTCGAGTTCAATCAATTTATGCTGGCACTAACGAAGTTATGAAGGAGCTGATCTCCAGAAAAATTGTTTCTTAATATCCTTTTTTGCTTAATTTGGGGCAACTTTTTTATTTCTAAATTCAGCTATTTATGCTTATAAAATAAATACAAACAAATTTGAGGCCTTTTATCACCTTATCATTTTTTAATTATTTTTGCTGTTTATTGTCGCTTATACTGATAATAAGCCTCTTTACTGCAGGTAATCTCCCTAAATTATATCTTTGCAAACTGCTCCATTGTATAGTCTATTGTTTTGCTTTTCACACTTTCGCTCT